TACTGGCATGTCTCTAGGTTGTTAAAAAATGGGAAAAGGAAAATATAATTAAACAACAACAACAAAGACAAAGGAACACCTGTAAATTAGAAAAGTCCTGGAAAAGAAAACAGTTTTTAAAGGTTGGCTAGTACACAACTAAAGACGAGCAAGAAAGACTCATTAAAAACTTTTCCTCTAAAAGTGATACCTACAAAACCAAAAAGCTTTGGAAGACAAATTTTAATTTAAATTTTTCTTTTCTTTATCTGATGTGTCTGTTAAGATATCTATCACATGAAAGTGTTCATTTTTTTTGTTCGGTTTTCCTTCTGCATCTACATTTTCCCACTGATGTAAATTTAGTCTATACAATGCAGCAGTTTGTGCAGATGACTCTGAAATACAATAGGTTGCCCCTTAATTTACTTAAATGCTACTGAGAAATTGTCCCACGATGGGAACTAGTATTTTCAGTTTTCCCAGTCCAACTTTCTTCCCCCAGTCAAGTCACTAATTCCCTTAGTGATCTTGAACAAATCATTTGACTTAATTGTACCCATATCAAGCCAGCTGGATAACTGGAGTAAAAAGCAGCCCTTCACTGAAAACCAAACGCTGTGTCGGAACTGTGCCTTCTCCAGAAACCAGACACGAGTGAGAGTAACACATTTCCCCTTGGGACCACTGTGAGGGAGTCAAGCATTCCAAATGTGTTTCAAAATCTACAAGATGGGTTCAAGTTTGGTCTTGAAAGATATTCTTGCTAATCCAGTAATTAACATGCTGGTTTTGCATAGAATAAAGAATCTTAAATATTTAGAGGCATATTATTACAGTGTTTTTAAAAGAGTCACTATTTCTTAAAACATATTAATTTACTTGTTCACTTCAAACAGACTGGATCTCAACCGTTATGTTTTTTAAACTCTGGTGGCTTACTTAATGAATGCTTGTGACTCACAAGGCCTATTATTAGTCCTTCTGAGCATACATTAGCTAAAAAAAAAATTATAGCAAGCCAGCTTTTATGTACTGTTTAGCAGAAAGTTCACAGTATTATATAAACCATTGAAATGTAGTTCCCCTTTAACTGTTAAAATGTATTGTAATCTACTTGTTTTGGGTATGTTCTGTTTTACTTCCTAATCCAAATAGTGTGTGTTACATACATACACCTTAGTGATGGTGACATCAAACTGAAGTTATAAAAATATTTAATATTTAATGGTGTATAGGAACAGCTCTTAACCAATCTATTTATCTGAGGTTATTTATTAAGTCTTTGTGAGTATTTCTGTCCCTCCCTGAGAGCTAGAGTTGTTAAAAAGCTCACCACCTTCCTCCTCTCCTTAACCACAAATGATACTGCAAATGCTCAGCATTTTTTCCATTAAGCCCTACGTCCATCTGTTCCTGATAAATTCATTTGTAGGGAGTATCCCTATAGTAAGTGCAATTGTGGAATGTCCACAGAGAGTCACAAGGCTTACAAATTGAGATAATGTCCACTTTTTATGCTAGGCAGTCAATCTGTTTATTTATATGATTTTGAAAGAGGAAGTTGAAAAAAGAAGAACTTTTGAAAATGGAAAATGACAGTCAGCATTTTCTTTCTAGTCTGAATGTGTGGGAATTCCACCATTACTCTATTTTTGGTCTGACTTTTTTACAGCATTTTTGGTAAGATTATACTACCTCCCTACAGCAAACTATCAATTCCTTTTAAACAAAATTATAAACTCTCAGCAGTTGATTTTGGTTGATTTTTAACTATCTGTGGTTTCAAAAGAGCAGTAGATACACTTTGTAGTCTATAACATAGGTTTATAAATAAATATAATAGGAATAATATAAAAGAATCAGAGCTACATTGGATCCATATGCCCATTTCTTTTGATTCTACAGGCTCCTGCATGTTTCATTCCCAGTAAATGCTAGCAGATTTTCCCCAAAGGGCCACCAATAAAGGTTTTAAATTAGTTTTAAAATGTATTTTCCAATTTCTCTCACACTTAAACAAGCAGATACAACAGGCCTCCCTTTTCATTGCCTCCTAATCATAATACAATCAAAAATGTTTATTCTGCCTCCTACTGCCAGATGCAGTCCTTTAAAAGGAAACTATACTTAAACCAGAACATTTAGCTGATCTCTGTATACTTTAAGGGCAACAGTGGTTATTACAAGATGATGGTAAAATACAGGTTTTTTAATACATAGTGGCTGGGGAAGGTTTTTTTTCAGATTCATACTGCAGACAAAACCAACAAAAATCCACACTTGAGTGCTCACATAATAAGCAAAACTGCTGTATCTTCTCCACATGCTGGGAGAGATACTTCCCATACACAAATGGAAGTGTTTTGAGTAGAAAAAGCAGGATATAGTTCACTGAAAAACTGAAAGAAAACCCTGTCAAAATGTGGTCTGTTATAATCACAGATACCTATAATCACAGAGCCTATGAGAAAATAAAATCTTAAACTACAAACAAATCATATTAAAACATAGACTGAAATGTTCTATAGTCTTTTTTATTGCAGTTCTCTGTTGCTGTAATTGTAATGGGCACTTTGCGCTCTAATACCATCAATCTTCATTTTTTATTTATCTGCTAAATTGTTTGCTATCAGAAGAAAGACAAGATAATTTACAATAAAAGCCCATCTGCATAGATGGGCAAACGTAATTGCACATTCTAATGCTCAGACCAAAGACATATTGATTGTAACTGAGAGATCTATTTGTTAACAAATCTGGGGCCACAGGAATGGATTTTTGAAAATATAGTTCCATAACATGAATAAAACAAAGTACTTACAGCCATCCTAAGGAGCAAATCTGGTTGTGATTTCTGGCAGAAATCACAGTGCAGTTTCTTTGTGTCAAAGGTGATTTGTGAAGCTGGTGAAGGAACTGTACTTCCCTTGTGCTATGGAGACTGTTCTCAGCATTTCAACACAAACTAAGATAGCTGGGCACTGCACTGCACACACCTAGAGTTTTAAGGCTGATGTACAGATACTATCCTTGCACTTCACGTCAAGCTGGGTTTCTGAAATTTGGACACAACAAAGGTTATTAACAAGGTTATTAAAGGTTAGTAATGAATACTTGAAAGGAATGACTGCCCTGTATAACTACAGCAGAAAAATAAGAGTTAAATTGCATTTAAAACACTCAAGTGACTGCAAAGAAAATGGTCATTTGTGTAAACTGTAGGCAGTGAATTCATACTCTTAACACAATGTATGCTGTAGAGCTGATTTCTCAAATCTATTATATAATGCCCCAAACAGTGTTCAAATAAATACCACACCAGGAAATACTAAACATCTGCCTTAAGTTTGACCACGAAATACAATTTGGTCTGTTCCCTCCTCTTTAGTAATTGTCAAGTGGTTGAGATGATCTCAATGAGAGCAGATTTTTTGCTAGATTCTAAGTCATTGTGTCAATACCCACTGTGAAGTCAAGGTAGGGCAGCTACCATATGTCTTCTAAATATGCATTCTGTATTTTAAAATATTCTTAGAAGGAGAATTAATTTCAAAACTTTGTATTAAATTAGGTCACTTCACTTAATCATTAATAATTCATATTACCAAGATACAAACCTAGTTCATCTTATCTACATCCACTGCTGTATGTATACATACATACATACCCTGAAGTAAACTGGAAGACAATAAGCCACAAATTAGAAACTCTGTATTTAGGTGGGAGAGGAATTGTTTATGCAGCATACAAAACTGCCAGCAATTATTGCTAAACAATGTTCTTGATCACAGACCTAAGAAATTCTGGATTTGGGGGAAGCCAGTGGGGATTCAGGTTTCATGTCTTTCTGCTATAGAAAGGGCGCCAATAGCAAAACCACATTTGCAATCTCAGCTGTTAACTTTGGAACAGTTCGTATCTCTGTGCAAAAATAATTTTAATTTTATGCATTGCATTTTTTTTACAAAGCTTTGAGTATTCTACTTCTCTCGTCACTGTCCTTCCATTCCAATTACGTTTGGGGCAGACTTCTTAACCTGTGATTAATGTGCAGGTGGGAAAGTAACGCTGAAGAGTTCATGATGAGCCAAAGATTGTATTTATTGTACTGGCTTTTACTTTGCTTGTGGCTTATGCAGAGATTGTACATGCATGTATTATCTGAATGGCACAGCAAGCTGTACTACCCTGTCCCTTCTCCTGCAGCCTTCTGGGGAGAGGGGAACAGCCTGGAGAAGCACTGACCTTTCTGGAGCAGCAGCTCTGGAGCAGAGGGTGGGGAGGGCAGAGGCACAGCAGGCAGGAACGCTGGAATGAACAGGGTTTGCTGGCAGCAGGGAAAGGGCTCAGAACCAGCCCTAGAAATAAGGGTGTTTCTCCAACAGGGAGCTGTGTAAACTATGTATGCATTAGGAGGCTGCTGAAAGCTGCCCAACTGGAAGGCAAAACTGAGGAATTCACCCCGTAAGGCACACTGGCCAGGAGGTTACTTGCAAACTTTTTAATCCAACTCCACTGATAAGCCTCAGCTTTCTCTGTAAAGAACTCTTGCTTGTGTTTGTTGTTTTGTGTGCTAATATCATCTCACTTCAGAGATGGGAAGCTTTTGGGTTCTTTCAGCAGGTTCACTTTAAAAAAAAACTGAGTTGGTCTGCTTTAAAGCCTTTGGTAACTACGGGGTCTGTCAGTTAAAAGTGATAAATATACGATATATGAAAATTATATTTATGAATATGTAAATAGAACAATCAGCTAAAGATGCTAATGACATGCATTATGATCTATATTCCCAACAAGAGTAAATTTAATTTCTGAAATCAATTTAACCATAATACTTCTACTGCAGATTTTTCTTTTCTATTTTAGTACATTCTCTGTTGAATTGTTCTTCAACAGCAGTTTAGCAGCAGAAAAAACACAGCAAGGTTCATTTAAAAACTAAATCTAGGAGATAAATTTCCAGCATTGGATGTCTTGAACAGTCACATATGATCTCCATTATTAATCATACAGACATTTCTCCTGGTTTTAATGCTAGAATTGTAAACTCTGAAACAAAATAGAGTATCTTCTTTTCTAACTTGGTTTCTGTAATACCAACAGAGATAAAATCCCATTGTGACATACATACTCTTCTGTTTCCTAGACATAAGATTTCCACTTCTTTTGGGTCAAATCATACATTATTAATCAATTTCTAGAGAAAATTATCTGATTAAGATTCCTATTAATTAAAAAATTCCTTCTTTCATATTACTCACTTTTCTAAGTTTGTGTGCAGTTTGAGTCAAGTAGTGCTGGGTTCAGTACACTTCTTGTTTTGTTTTTCAGCTACTTATTTCAGAATAAATCAATTTGGCATCTGGAAATCTGAAGTGTTTTGTCACTAGAGCTTATGCCTGTTGCTCAAATCAGAACAGAGGGACCATGTTTTTTCAAAAGGGTATGTCCTCCCATATGGTTAAAAATATTTTTTTCTTTAAGACTTTTCCCTGCTCTAAAAAGGGTTAACATTAATCAAAAAGTAAATAAAAATGCTGCTTTCTGAACTCGAAGTAGCAGAATAGCCACAAAAATCCTTAGGGTATCACTCAGAATTACAGATAAGCATCTGTGACCACAGAGACTCTTGTAAAAAAGAAAGTATTTTTTAATTGAGTTCTTCAGAGCACATATACTGTGCTCTCAAGCTGTTTAAGTGCCTCCTTGTGTCTCCCTCCCCATTGCTTTGCTTCTTCAGTGAAATGAAAGCCCTTTAAGTTGACAAAACCATTTGTTTTCACTAGAAACAGAAAACTATACAAATGACCGTGCAGTAGTCTTTAAATTGTATGTTGAGCAACTGAGAAATGGGTAGGTAAACCATCCCTCTGGGGATGGATACACAGACGTTCATTGCAGTCAGCTCTGGGTGCACCATTAAGTTGGATGTTGCAGTTCTTGCCTGGTAGTTGGAGGCTTCATAAATGTTTTCACTTACTATTACAAAATAAATTAGTTTCTTCTAAACAGTCCAAATATTTTCATATCATCTAAGTGACCCAGAGATATGTGTCAAGGTCTGAAACATTATTTCTTCATTCTCTTATCAGCTATATAAAAGAAAAAACAAATTAATAGAGGGTTGCTCACTTGATTTACTATAAGTTAGAAAGTATTTCCAAGGGAAAAAAAAAGATTCAGACAGCATATCCTCTCTTGCTATTGGAAGAAAAAAAAGAAAAAAGTCATTGTTCATTTAAAATAATAGCTTTTACAGAATGGGTCTATTTTTTTCCTTACCGGAAGATTGCAGGAACAAAACACAATTAATGCATTTACTGCCACTCCTGATTACGGTGAAGATTTAAGGTCCTGCATATCCTGTCTTAACTTGATTTTAAATGTCTATTTTTCAGATAATGTCAAGATCATGGTCATTTCAGAACAACAGTTTACAGTCTGGAGCGGTGACTGTTCCATGGATCTCAGAATAACAGATTATCCCTGTGTTCATCCAGACACAAACTGGAAGATGTTTGCTAATACAGCTCACTAATTACAATTTCCTCCCCCTCAAAATTAGTTATTTCCATTATTGTTTCAATTTATAATTTTTCAAATAAAAACTTTCCCTCTATTTAGTAGATACCTGTAGCTGATCAATGCCTTAATTAATTAGCCTTACATAACTATGATTGGGACAACAGGCTGAAGGGGTGCCCAGGATTTATGCTTTATTACTCCACAGCAGACAACTTGATCACACATGTCTGGTCCCAGGCCTATTAGCATAATAAAACTAAAAACCTTGTGGTATAGTATCCATGGCCAACCTTTGACTTCAGACCTTACCATCTTCTTCTTCTTCTCACTGGAAAAAGATAAGCAAAATATCTAAGAACTTGTGCTCCACGTCTGCTTAGAGACTGCTCTGAAATCACTCGTATCAACACCAAGGACATGATGTAACTGCAGTAACTCACCAGTTTTGAGGGAGGCCAAGTGTCAGAACTGATGCGTTCACTTCAAATGAGCTCAGTTTCTTAAATTTGGTAAATCTCAAATAAAAAAAAAAAAAACCAGAATATGTGGAATCCTGAAAATCAGGGTCATATTTTATTCAATAGCAAAAGCAGTTAAATATTTTCTGTGCAGTAAGAGATCAACATTCACAACACCAGCAACTTTCATGTACTTGGAGAAAAAAGTAAAATTTGGTTAGGGATCACCTGAGGTCACCCCTGCCTGGAACTGGGTGTGTTTTCTGGTACATATCAAAATTTGAAAGTGAATTGGTCCACACATTGACTAGAGTAGATTCTGCCAGCACTGCCATTCTGCAGAGCCTTGTTCCCTGCTGTTAGTTTTATAGACCAAAAGGAGCTGTTTAAGGTGAGGAAACTGCTGGCAGCAAAATAAACCAGCTTGGCAAGAGATCAGGAGGCTTCAATCTCTTGGCAAGAAATCCAAATTTCCTTCCTTTCTTTATTTAAAACACTTGATCCACTATTCTCTGTACAAGGCATATGGAAAATTCTGAAGAGATTATCCATTTCTTTACTCTTTTTCCTGCCCAGAACTGGTGTAACATAGAGCCTTTAGAAGGACCAAATACTAGAGCACATACTCAGTTTTAGTTCTCTGGGAGTAGATCCTGCATTAGGGTTATGAGTTCACGAATTATAGGACTTTTCATCCAGCATCTGTCACCACATTTTCATCCACATCAAAAAGAATATAATGTTTTGATTTAGTATTGACACAGAAAGATGGGGAGAGGAGCAAAAATGTGAACTGCAGAAGTGGGAAAATCACGTGGAGCACGGAATTTAGGAAAAACAGTATTTGAACATTAATCCATTGCTTGATTTAATGGAGTAGAATTCTCATTATGGGATGAGAAACTACTGATTCTTAGGTTGTATCAGACAATACATCATTATTGGATTATTTTAAGCAGTGTACAAACTATCCTTACAATTAAATAAGAGTACATTTTCTGATTTCTTCCCCTGTACTTGATGAAAAGATGCCACTGAGCAATACAGCTATAGAACATAGCTGCCTACATTTCTTCAAAAAGTACTGAGAATGTTGCTGCTTTTGCTATTTATCAAATAAAACCAGATGTGAGTATCGATAGATACATTACTCAATCATTACACCAAGTCTCAGAGAGTTCATCCTTTTTAGTCTGATACCTTAAACTTGAAAGGTTTTATGCAAGAGTGCTCTGACAGCTGATTAGTTTGGTGCTGGGTTCCAGATTCCAGCACTATCATTTCTCACTTTCACTAAGTAAGCGTGGGAAACCAAAAGTTTACATACTTGTACATGCTGTTGCCAGCACAGCTTAGCTGTTGTAATCAAATATCCAGCATTAAGTCTTTGCCTTCACTCTGGGCAGCAAGATATGTAGATCAGTCTCTTCAAACCTTACTTAATATTAGGATGAATATTTATTATTATGTGGATGCTGATTAAAATAGCCTGCACCAGTGATACATTTTATTTATAGACATGTACAGTAATTGTACTAAGGAACTGATGTGAGTTAAAATATCTCGTCCTTGCTTAGAAAAATATTTCTTAAATTATAGCCTAATTTTTGATATATGTTGATTTCATATTTTTCATCTTTTTGGACACCAGTTCATTGCTGATGTCTCATTATCTTCTCAAGATAGCTCTGTTTTTACCAACTCCATCAAAGTTTTGGGGCCAAAAATATCCTCTTATCTGTTTGCAGAATTGCATTAATGTATCAAGTTCTAATGGAGAATAGCATAGAAGTCAGTCTGGAGGAAGGAAGGAAACATACCTTGGAAAGAATAAAAAGAAAAAATTCCTGTATTCATCAGAAAAAACTTCTTTGCTTAATGACTATTTTCAAATCAGCTTTGTAGTTCCTGCAGAATTAGGATAGATTAAAACAGATTTACAAGCCAGATACCATATTTGAGATTACTATTCTGCCAATTGTCCTGTGCAACTTCAACAGAGTTTCCTCCTGTTGTTCATTACATCCTGCTGGTATTATGTTTTGGGAATAGAATCAAAATTCTTTGGGGCTTGTTTGTAAATCAGGCATCTCCCTCCAGTTATTGCAGAGAAACAGGCTAAATTGGTAGTTGGTACTAGTGGTTCTTCTTTATGATCATGATGTTTTTGTTACTGATAATGATAAAAATGATCCATACTTTTTACTATGAATCTAATTCCTTCAGACAAGGAAGGGCACAAACAGGAATGCTTTAGGGGCCTCCCTTTGGTCCTGTTGCTGACATTATCTCACTGGTTCCACTCTGATCATTCCTGTCTGTCAGGAACCAGCTTTACTGCCACTGGATCCAGAGAAGCTGTTCCCAACGGTGGGACCAAACTGACTCCATCCATTGGGCAATGGGACTTCTTTTGGTTTGCTTTCATACTCCCAAAGCCACTTCTTGCTTACATGCTGGTGATGTCAGAAGCAACCACTGTGGTGATATGCTCTGCTCTACATCCTTCTGAGAAGTCCAGGCTATGGAAAAAATTTCTTTGTAGTTCCATCAATTACTGAACTGTAACTAAGCACTGCAGAGCAGCAATGCAATTAAAGAAACCTTTCACCGCTGTCCAAAAGGTGTTCAGTGGGAACAGCATGTATTGCTGTAGGAATGCTTGTGGACAGGACTGATTAACAAATCTGTTCTTACTTGCAGTAGCCCTTTTACTCCAGCGATCCAAAAGTCACGAGACACATCTAGCACATCCCATGTCATGCTTGCATGAAGTATTGCAAAGAAAACATGACTGAACATTCCTGTACAATAGCTGTTTTTTTAAACAGTTACTCCACTATTGTTAACTGAACTACAAGTTATGACAAGTGATATATCCATAGTCATCCCTTTGGCATTCTTTATAAAAACATGAATCACGGAAGCATTCATGGTGAGGAACTCCCATCATAAGGCCATGTACACAGTGTGTCGTTCAGCCTCGCTGTATCTTTCCACTCTGTAAAATGTAACTGTCAGAACAACTTCAATGAATTGTATAGGCCAACATGTAGGTTTGGTAAAGAACAACTGATTAAGCACATGTCAGAATTAATTAGTTATGTTTAACTTCACATAATGCTTGTGCACAAAAGAAAAATGAAAATTTTCTTTCTTTTTAAGTCATTCTACCAAACACCACAATAGCACCATATTGGTGTATGTTAACCAGAAAACAAAACACTTGGAAGGACTGACCTACTAACAAAGCTCAGACATTGAAAAGCATGGATAAAGAGCATACACAGGATAAAATAACTGCTAAACCAGACTGTGCTTGCAGGAAAGGGAGGATTTAACCACTGCAGCTGCCCTGAAGTTGTCAGAGGGATAGGAATAGACCTAAGATACCCAGAAGCCCTTCCAAAGAGACTCATAGGGGTTTTTTTCCCATGTTTCTCCCTCCAAAAGCCTTTCACCACTTGGAGTAGCACTTGACTGCAATGATGTTGACAGCTATTGTTTATGGCACCTTTTGTCTGTCCAAGCTACAGAAGTAACATTAAGTTTCTCTGAAAGTTTATGGGGCTTCATTCAGAACTGTGCCAGCCTTCAGGAGGTGACAGAAGAGGGTACACAACTGGGGTGAATGTAAGGACCATATGCTATGCCATATAAAAGGAAATGAACTTAAGAGAATGGTGCTACCTACAGACATCACCAGGCATATTTTCCCATGGATGAAGGTACTTGTATTCCAAGAGACAAAGTGCCACCCCCTGTGTTCTTGCTCTTCTTCTTTTCCAGGCAAGAGATGCCCACAAGATTTCCACTCCCCTATGAACACTATTTATTCACACTTTTGCAAAGGCAGAGAGGTAAGCAGTAAGAATTTTCTACTAGCTCTGCTCAGGTTCAGACAGTTATATAAATGAAATTCAGAGAAATACCGAATGATTTCCTATGAAACAATTTTTTGGTCTATTTTTTAAAAATTAAATACTAGATTGAGAGGTTTTGCTGTAATAATGCAGTACCTCATCATAAAAGGTCATATGCTTCATTGCATTTGTTTTCAGTTTCTGTCCAGGCACTCCCCACTGTGCCTGTACAGCTCCCCAAGGCCACTGTAATGCAAAGTTTCAAATGCACTCCCTAAGCCACACTGACTGTAGGGGACCTTTGCCCATCACATTACATGTGTCAGATCTCAGACTATAAAGCACCAGTAATTTCATCTATCTGCAGATTTCAAAATTGATGTGTTTGTCATTTGGGAAAAATGTATGCTTTGCTTTTAGCAGAAGTCCCAGAACTGGTAGGCTTTCCAGTGCTTTTGTGGTGCTATGAGCCACAGTTGCTAAGATATTAATTCTTAACTGAAATCCTATTATAGAGAAAAAATACTATGCATAATTAAAATACTTTTTTACAATTCATTACCGCATAAATAAAAGAATTTAAGTATTTTAGTATTAAAAAACCAATAATAAAAAGATAAAAATTATTGTCATAACATCAAAGAAGCAATTTATATTTTTTAAGGTAAATAACATGAACATACTCATTCTAATCATAGATGTGGATATTCAAATGAGAAAAATGTTACATATATATCATTAAATGCTGTAAAAGCAACAGTATTTTAAACACAGTATTATAAGCATGTCATTTCTAAAAACTATGCTGATATTAAAAGTCCATAAAACCATGCATCACTTTATAACTACAACTGCACATTTACAGGCATCTGCTCTAACTAGAGATCTCATCTTACTTCTGTTTTGCATCTGTTTATGGTTGAAGAAATAACTACCTCAAGAATTACGTTTGCTAAGATGCTCTTAACTGAATGTAAAGTTGCCTTCCCTAATACAGGATGCTACCCCATAGCCTGGAATTTGCCCACAGGTTCCAATCACTAAATCTGTTTCATATTGGAATAGAAAAGTGAACTACTTGCTGCAGCACAAGGTATTTATTGACAAAATGAGCCTTTACCGTGAAACAACTGAAGGTACACAGTACCACTGAGAAATAATCTCTGTGAACAATGATTTCATAAGGTTAACATTAATGCCAAACATCATTTTGTCTCTGTGCTCAGTGAAATTAGTGGAATAATGGTAACAGGGATAGTATCAAAGAAAATTTGGACTTGAGATACAACGGAAAGTTCTTCCTTTTATACCTCTGAGAGCCAGCAGTGTTTATTCAGTGTTGTCCAGCTTTAAATGATGTTCTTACAAGAACAGATTTCAAGCTGCTACAAATCTCCCATTTCAGGCTTGTACAGTTCAAATTATCAAGCAGTTCTAAGAGCTGTACTGAGTAAAACTGGGCAGGAAAGACAGCACTGGTAGTACAGTCCCTGCAGAGTGGCCAGGGCACTCTGTAACCTTACACAGATGCCATTTAATGCAATAGAGTTTGCAATTTAGTTTTTTAAATTAGATTAACACTTGAATGCAAGTTATCTGCTGCAAAAAGAGGCAGCCAAGTGAGACACCACAAAGCTGGCAAAGCAGGAAAAAGAGAGTCAGCTAAAAGAAAAAAATCGCAGTTTCAAATTACGTAATTTTCTTTTGCCACAAGAACTCAACTCACAACCACAAGGTTATTTTCCTCTCACAAATTCATCCCTCTTTTCCTACCATAAACATCCAATGTCCCGATCAATACTTTTGTCTTGGGCCCTGATCTTGCAACACTTGCACATACATTCAAGTTTACTCACGTGAGTAGCATCCTTGGTTGCAGTAAGACAGTTCATTGAACATGTAAATCTTTTGGGATTGCTGGCTTTGTTTTGTTAAGGTGAGGCAGGTTGTTAAGTAACTTTGCTCCTGAAAGTTTATCAAGGAACTCTACAGTGGCAGGAAGAAGAAAAGAAGCAAGCATTTCACAGATTCCTTAAAAAGAAGCTGAAGTTAATTTTTAAAGACCCACTGAAAATTCTAACAGGAATACAGAAATAATCTTTGCCCTGCCCCCCTCTCCACAGTGCAAAGAGAAGTTCTTCATGTTGTGAAGGAGAATTTTGAAAATATTAAAATGAGTATTTCAAACTAACACATTCTTCTCTGTCACACACTGTGCCAAACTGTGCATTATCAGACTTCTGATGTGCTACTTTGAATGATTCATGAGACACTTAACATTATGGTATCTCAGTGATACACATCCTGGGATTCAGTGACACCATAACATTTCTAAAGCTAAATAACCTAACGTTATGTGCCCATAGCATCCTGAATTCACACATCTCAGTATTGCAATACATTTTGAAAAACCCAGACTTGCAACACCTGGTATCACAGGTGATATGTGACCCAAACAAGACATTAAGTTCTGGTTCTGTCTATATATAACCTCTTTCCAAATGGGACCATGTATATAATGAAAAATTAGTTATGCAATGGAAAACTTACAGAGTATTGCTTTCTGGTTCTGGAGGATTTGTGAAACAGCATTTCTATGAATTTGAGGTGTATCAGTTCAGGACAAAAGTTGGATGCCACTAGGACTAACAGGTCTCTCCTAGCTGTAATAAGGTGGTGGGGGTGGTTGTAGTTTCTGTGTGGTTTTGTGTTTTGCTTTGTTTTTTAAAAAATGTATATATGATGAGGTTTTCTGTCTTGATTTCTTAAATATATTAGCCTAATACCACTCTGTGAGAGTTTTCTGCAGATGGAAGCAATAAGAAATAAAATAGTGGATGTCAGCAGTGGAAGTGCTCTCCTAAATCCATGCCAGAACCACATCACACTCCTTCCAACTTCCTCTGCTTTTCACAGTCTTTCAGGATCACTCTTCTCAATTAAAAGATCAAGTCCGAATTCAGCTTATATTGTTTTAAACTCTTTGACAGAAAGTCTCTGCTCAAAAGGCAGACAATTACATGCTCAGAATTAATGAAGAGAATTATCCACTAATCCTAAGTAGCACTGTTCTTCACAATTTTCATTTGAACATTAAGTATATAAAGCACTGGAAAAGCAAATTTGAAAGGAAAAAAAGAACAATTTTTTTTTTTTGCTTAGAACAACACATTGTATTACCAATGTATTTCTTAGCTGTGACTAAATCACTTACAGTATTTAAAACTAAGGAGTTTTTGTTTATTGCAATGTTTGGGATGAGCTATTAGATTATAAATAAATACTAAAGCTATGCACATGACAGACCTGACTATGGAAGACATCGTATATACTGGTTTTCCTCTTCTAAAACAGATGTGTGGGTTCAATCCCAATGTCTCTATAATGGAAGTCTTTGAGTTCAGTTGGGGGTTTGCCGTATGAAAAACAGAAAACAGGGCATCAGCAACCTCCAGGACTCCAAGGAATGAAGCAGGTTCAACTTCCACTTTAGTCAATGGAAATTGTGGCTGGATGGATGACATAACCAGCATGCAGGATCAGTTTTAGAAGTTGTGCAAACAACTACTGCCTATCTTCTTACCACAGAAAATCAGCAGGAGGCCTCTCATGAGTAATACACTTCACCAGTAGCAAGTATTCACAGAAATGTTTCCAATTAATTCAGTTTAGGTTGTCATAAAATTGAAAAATAAAAACACATCAAAATTTGCATGAGAATCAATAAACATTTGAAGATAGTTTCAACTTGCATACATAACCTTTCCACCATTACAGCACTTAACAGTATAATGCATTTTGCAACTACTGAATTAAAACCTATATTGCACTGAAATAAATGTCTTGTAAAAAGCCAATAACATATTGCTTTGGTCTATCTGTAGCTTAATTTATCACCAAAATACAGAAAAATTAGCAGGAAACCTGATAAAAGTATAAAATTGTCAAAGAGAATGTGTACTTACAAATATGTTTTCTTTGTGTATGGTATTATCACTTAAAAGAATACACTTAATAATAATAAATAAATGCTTTATTCCATTAGATTTGGTGCAATCTTATCTTCACTTCATTAAAATCAACTTTGAAAATAGTCTGATCGTGTCGTTCTTATTTTCTAATGATATGTAGAGCTTTCTTTATATTTTATGACAACTTGAACATATTACAATCAAACCATCCAAAAACTAACAGAACTTAAGAAAACAACAGACAGACTGGCTAACCAATAAGATTCCAAGTTTGACATGGTACGTGAGCTCCACTGTCTAACTGAGAATATTACTCGAAAATTAAAAAAATCCTTCCTGAAAACTGCAGAACAAGGAAATGTTAGTAGAAATAACAAGAAAAAAGAAAGAAAACCAACAAATCATTGTATTCAAAATGGTAATCAGTCATTTTCAAAAGCTGTTACCTCTTCACTCTATCACTGCTTTTTTGTATTCCAGAATTTCTATTCTAAGTTTCTTGGAGAAATACGGTTCTTCATTTGATACATCTCCAATAACACAAAAATATTATCTCCTTTGTTAGAACAAAGGCAAATAATACAGTCTATACAGCTGGTGGTCCTACATAGCCTGCCAATGTCCCATTACACTGGTTGGTTCTTCTCAAACAGGTGCACTGAGTTTCTGACACAGTGTCAGAACACGGAAAGTTCGGAGGTGGTTTCTACTCTTTGATGACGATACGATATTTACAACAACAAACAAACTCCTGACTTAGCTTCGCCTCCGTTGGCGTAACCTCCGGACTCGACTCTGTTGGGATCGTTCAGTTCGTCAAACAGTCCCGTTTCAATGATCTCCTCCTGCCAGGGTATAGGGACAGCACCTGTCGCAAACCTTTTGAAGAACTTCTTATCTTTGTCATCAAACTCAATTCCTCGTACTTCAGAGAAGTCAGCAATGTCTCCAATATCTTTGGCATAGACAACTGATGGATCTGGCACAAATGGAGGGTCAATAAGGTTTGCCTCTAGCCTGTGGAAATTTATCGTTTTGAAGAAATTATGTTTTCTTGGGTCATCGTCCGCATTTCTGCAATAAAGCAAAAGTTTGGTAATCAGGGGGATGTTTTGCTCTCAGAGAGGTACAGGTGTGTCCGTGTTTTATACATGAGGGTACTTTAAAATAAGGAGATAGATATATATAATGCAACACAATTCCTTTTTTCCTAACCAAAGAACGTTGCATTGCACAATAAAAGCAAAGCTGAGAAGCAGAAAACACTCTGATCCCATTACTCACTGCTCCACCTCTCAGGGTAAGTCAGTCCGGGCAAGGTGCCACGCAGGAGCTGCAGTGCTGCATCTCAGATACCCCTATCCAAAGATACATTCCCACCAGAACTGAATAGAGAGCAGGATGGGAGGGGGACTCTGGGATTTACTGTCAAAAAATGGCAGTTCAACAACTGCCTCTGTATTAACCAGGATAAGAATATCTATCCTATAATCTGGGGTAAGAATATATATTAAACTCTAGGCTGAGGTACCTTGGGTTAATATATCTGGAGACTGACTCTGAGCAACAATAGGAAACTGGTGACAAATGACATTTCTGGTTTTATCTTAATTCAAAGCAGCTACACATTTACATAATAAAACTGTTATGTCACTCAAACACTCCTGCTTTTAGTGACTCTGTTCATGCAAAATAAATACTCCTACAAATGAACAAAGAGTTTTTTAGGCAAGAGATTCACAAATTACGACATTAACAAAAGTATGTGTGCCACTGTCACAAAAACAATCCTTTATTAATATTGTTAATACCTAATTATAAAATCAAGAAAGGACTAAATAATTGTAAATTCATAGGTTAAATATATCTTACGAAAAACACCTGCAGACCTCAGGGAGAACTTCAGCTGTAAAAGAAACACTGAATTTTTTCACTGTAGACTGACAGAGACACCAGTAGGATATGGTGATGTTAAGAATCATCTGAGCCTCAACTGTGTGCTCACTAAAGTATGACCGAAGACCCCAGCTTTTGAACTGTGCCTCTAGTGTCAAGGTATGCAAAGCCTGAGTTTTGAATTCTAGAGAAAAGAGGAGCAGACAGGAGCACTGTACCACCTATGCATTCTTTTTTTAAATGTATTTATGAATGCACCACTCTTGAAAACAGTAATATAGGAAAACCAAATTTGTCTGGGTTTCAGCCTCAGAAAATGGTAGGTCCTAACACATTGCTTTTGCTTTTCCCACTTCCTTACAGAATCATGCTGGGCAAAGTGCAAGCACTCACGTATTTCTAGACAATGTTCTATGAACAAAAGGTAATGCAAACATTCGGCAAGTCTTTTTATCTTTGCAAGTGTGCAGAAGCACCATACAGAAGTAGAAGATTTGTGTGACTATGGAAAAATCTTCATTTTGTAAGGCCTCAATACTACGCGTGCAGAACAGCTTCTCCAGCTTGCTGCTACTGCCTGTTCCTCCCATGCTGTCCTGCCACGCTTCCAGCCTGCCTTGGTGCTACCCAGGCATGGCCAGGATGAAATCACCAGCTGCCCTTTTCAGCCCCCCTGCCATTGTCACTTTGAACCTCTGGTGCCCAGTTCCTCTGAGCAAGCCACCACCAGCCACTATCTACTGTACACCACCATGACTAGAATGCTAAATCACAGCCTGAAGAATGAGAGAAGCTGCCATCCAGGCACGCTGGGCAATGAAAAAATGATATTTTCTACCCAAAAGAGGCATATGAACGCAATTATACAGATTAAGCCAACAGGGATCATGACCTCTGCACACATATAGTCTTGCAAAATCATCTCCTAACTTACCCAGCTAGTGATACCAAGTACCTGAGCAGCCTGACATGACTTATATATACTTTCACTGGTAGCCTGAAGTGCATTAGAGCTGCTGTTCCAATTAACTAATGTCCTGGGACACTCATGGGCCAGTAGTACTGACATTCTACTGGGCAGATGCACTCACAGAAATTCCCCTTTATTTCACTTTTCCTTTCTGTAACAGAAACCAAAAAGCACTAGAAGCTGGTGGAGGCTCCAAAATGGATTGCTGCAGTGTTTCTCCTCCTGAAACAATAAAAAGTTAAAAAATGTAAAGCTACATGAATGCCATCTACTGGAACTGAGGCATCTTCCACGTAGCTGGAGGTGAACTTAAGCTCTTCCTCTGTGAACTGCCTTTTTACGTAACTTTAACAGGAAGAGCAAATGAACTCATACAAAGTTGGATAATTTTGCATTCTTCCATTAAAAAAAATTTTAAAAGTCACTTTACAGGTTTGGGATTTGAGATGTCAATCCCAAAAAGCTTGAGTGGAGAAAAGGGGTTACATCTTTCCTTAGCTGGTGAAATTGAACCTTCAATAAAAGAGTGTTTTAAAAGGTCAGGTGTACAAAGTAAAGCTCTCTTTGAGCAGCTTTAACTTATGCAACAGGCACTTCTGTAGATAACCCAAGCTCTTGTTGTCCTTAGTAGATTTACAGTACTAATCTCTACAAAAGGATGAGCTGTCCTGAATAGTATTGCCCTGTTTAAGAGGTACATGCAAGCTTTTATTCTCTTTCATGCCCAGGAAGGGAATACATCCTATTGCTTTCCTTCTCTAATTATGGCACTAAGAGTAAGGATATCTTAAACAGCAGAAAATTAAAAATAATATGTGCAGTTACCTTTCTGTGTACATTTCTCCCATTGCTGAGAAGGAATGGAACAAAAAGCAGAGAGAATGATGGTAAATGACCCTCTTGGCACAGGGGATGTGGTTACAGGAAGTGAATCATTTGTTGCTGGTTTTGCTTCAGACTTGCTGAATGAACTTGACCAAGTCATTCAGAATCTCTCAATTCATTTTCTCCTACTCTGAAATTTGTTTACTTCACAAAATGCTGTAAGTCTAAATGTCTGCAAGTATGCTGACTTGTAAGTTAGAATGCTCTACACGTTTTTGTGTTAAATTTACTTTTAAAATAAGCTTTTAAAACATCCTCAAATCATAAAAAATTTTGTATTAAACATACTCTATGAGCTGTTGAAAATAACTTTTTTCTGCTGCCTGGCGTAGTTGTTGGGAAAATTCATTAGGCACAAAGAGTAGCTGTCTTCATGTAGCACTAGAATATTAAAGATAAGTGTATTAATGATATATTACCTTTTGTTAAATTCTTTCAGATAAATGTTTGCCTAGCATTTTTAAAAACTGTTCCACGTTGTTATGAAATACAAATTTAGAAGTCTATGCATTTTCAGTAAGATCCTTTGTCTATTCCACCATTAGACTGGAAAAGCACCTGATACATATATTTGTATTCACAGATGATTCAAATGTAGAGTACTCTAAAGATAGGTACTATCAGTTTCCTATTAATTTTTTACATTTTTATTATATTTTTTATTTTGTCCACAATCTGTCTCATTGGAAATGCACTAAATGATTTAAATATATATATACACACCAACACACCTCAAAGGCAGCAGAGATAGACAAGTTACACATTACAATGTTTAGCTTTTAAGTTTTCTTCTTATTAAACAGTTCCTTGAAATTTCTAAGTCAGGGACACATCTATCAGTCTTCATCAACCCAAAGCCACCTGTAAAGTCCCCAGAAATGTTTTGCTTTATAGGCATTTGTGCCAAATATTTTTTTCCTGCTTTTTCTCCCCGGGATGAGTCAGGAAGACCAGAATCTGTCTAAGATTTTTTTAAAGCAGTTGAGCAAAGCAGAGGGGTTAAAGTCTGTTCAGCAAGAAGCCAATGACGCAGCCTTGCAAGTTAGATATCTGCAGGGAAGAGAATCCACATTGCAGATTTGGATTTCTGCCCACATCATTCCAGTAAGTGATACAGCCTAAGATTGTGTACTCAGTCTGCACTAGCATAGATGCAGGTTTCTACTTGAATATCTTTTACCTTTAGGAAAGAATGTGCAACAAAAATGGGTTGCCCCCTTCTCCCCAAAACTATATAGAGTCTAACACAGAAAATAACAGAAGGGAACTCCTAAGAGTTGTCTGAAGTGAGGATAGATAACCAAACTATTGCAACAACATTCCTTATTTCCATATTATCTTCAAAACTTTCCACCTCTCTCTTCCTAGAAATGAAAGGGAAAATTCAGTACTCTGTAGAAAGTGAAGATGTAACCCATTTTGTGTAATATGTAAAATAATGATGTTGTTTGCAGCTTTAATCTGCATTTTACTGAGTCTGAGAAGGCATACCTGCTTCCTAAACGGTCCTCTTTTTTCTTAGCCAAAAACAGTCGGCAAATATCTTTCGCTTCCTCTGTAAAGCTGGCATGTTCAAATTTCACCTCATCTTCCAGAGTTCTTCTTCTAACCTCATCCTTATTAACCTTTTCTTTGAAATCCTTGAATGGTGTTCGTCCAGCAACCATCTCATAAATAGAGCAGCCCATAGCAAACCAGTCCACAGGATAGCTGTAGTCTTCTTCCTTCAGGATTTCCGGAGCCATATAACCATTTGTCCCAGCCTATTGCAAACAGACAGACAGATTTACTACACAGTGTCAGTAATTAAATGCAAACAGTTAAACAGACTAGTCTATAATTCTTCCAAAATATTAGTAATACTACTGATAGATTTTTGTATCTAGAAACTCTGCATAATTGACTTCTTTTTATCTGGAAACTGTAAGGTATAACTGTTTTAGCATATGGACTATATCTGTCTTTAAACATCTTGGCATATGGGAAAATATGCTTTTCAAAAGTGAAATGTCTGTGCAATTTCCACCTAAAAGTGGTTTATTTTTAAATTCATGTCTATCTTGCTTTCCTCTTCCATATTATTTTTTTTCTGTTGAAGATAGTGTTGTTAGCTTCGTCCTGCAAACACAAATAGCAATCAATTTGAAAAGATTTTTAAAAAAGACAAAAATCAGGTAAAAGAATCACTGATTCCCACCCCGTTCAGTGGTTATAACTGGTCCAACACAGGGGTCTGCTGCCAGTGAGAAAACTCTCATCGAGCCAGTAGCTGAGCTGCATGAGGAAGTTCTCACTCGCTTCCCTCTTGGTGTCTGGATGGAAGTTCTACCATCAAGGGCCAAGAAAAACTCCTAAAACCATTGTAAGAAAGTAAACCTATATATTATAATTCATAAATGACACTCATTCGGGTGAAAGATGAGTTTGTATTTCCTGACTAGAACCAGCTGTCTGAATAAAGACTGTGCAGCACTAACAGCCCCTTCTCCCGGAGAAGGGACCACTCTCTGGGAGGGGAATCTGCCTGCTTCCTTCCCAGAGCAGGCCTGGCACATTCCCCTTGGGGGACAGGCTGCAGTGTCCAAAATAGCTCCTGCTGCCTGTCTCCCTGGAGAGCTGATTCACCTGGGAGGGAGGTGAGGGGATCAGGCTCTCCATGTGCTTTCTGCTGCCCCGAGGACGTGAGGCTGCCATCGTACAGCATTCCCTCAGCTGACCCAACATTTACTGCTGCTTCTGAGGCCCTACCTTTTGCATTTACCAGACTCAGCCAACACTGACAGCTATGTCAGAAGTTGCCTGAACCTCTCATATCTGTTTTAAATACTGGGACTGATGTATTACTAGTATTACAATTTAAAATGAAAAACTGTGTGTGTGCAAAATCCCACTAAAGGTTATTCAACTGTCATTATTACTGCTACCAGAATACAAGTAGTGACAGAGATTTACTCCAAAGTAAAATAGTTAGAAAAAGGTAACTTAAACTAGAGCTCATTTGAGCAAATGGTATTTAAAAAAAGCACAGCTCAACAGATAAATTATATTTTATGGGGTTGGGGTAACTCCTCCATTTTGTGCAAATATAGGCACAATATTTCCAAGTCACATCTCCCTATAAACTTTAGCTTGTGTCAGTACACATTATGACATATACTCTACTGTAAACAACATGTGCAGCAGAGAACATGTTAGCATCAATTAAAACATAAGCTTAATGGACAGAAAATTAAATCCAGTTTGTTTTCCCTCTTTGTATTTTTTTTACTTTTAGGGATATAGAGCAAAATCCTCCATTTCGTTGAAAAACAGAAATGAGATGAGAAAAACAAAAATATCAGCTAAGTTGAAAGCAAAAAAAAGGGTAAAAGAAAACTGGTGCCCTCACTAAAGCTACAGAAGCAGAGGCACTGCAGCAGCTGACATCATCCCCCAGGCAATTTGTACTGCTTACATTGAATTTCTCTAAGTAAAAGTTAATATTGAGAGATACCCTGACAGCATTACATTTTTAGGTATGATTACTGCTCTATTCAGAAAAGTGCTCAAACACAGAGCACAGAACCCAGATCCCTCTGGCACCAGAAGAACCTAGAAGGGAGAGAAGAGGCTGAAAGCAGTAGAGAAGTTTTGGTACAGAAGGATGCACACAGAGCTCATTGTGGATTGGTGAACACAGCCCTAAAGAGGCTTCTGAAATATTTTTTCTTTTTTTTTTTTTTCCTCCTTCTGGGAAGCAATAAAGATTCTTGTTTTTACTGAGGTGAAGCTGGGGCACTAATGCCTTGAAGAACTGATGAGTCATATTATCATCAAAATGTGCCCTGACAGCAGTGTAGTCTTTCTGATAAGACATTACTTTGCTGCAAGTTAGCATCATCATACAGGACCTGGATACGTCTGACATGGAAAAGTCAGAAATCTGCCACAAATGTGTCTCAAGGCAGCTCCATCCAGATTGCCTCTCTTTCTTCCACTTGTGTTCTTTCTTCCATAGTTGTCTTTTCAAAAGAAACTGAGTAACCTCAGTCTCTTCCATGTGCATTTTCCACACACCCTCCAGTAGGACACACCACCCAGAAGAACACTGTGCTTTGACATGGCGCTTGTGTTTCCCAAGGATAGAGAAAGCACGGCTGTTATCACAGACCAAAAAGACTCACGACCACAGTTTAATGGAAAATAGAGATGGACCAACAACAGCCTTCCTTCAGACTGAAGTGATGGGCTGTGGATGAGCTGAACTATGAACAAGAACTAAACTTCCAAATTTTAAAGTAGTAGCACTGAAATCTTTTGAGCTCATATTGAGTTGATCCAACTCAATCTGAGGAAGACTAGAAACATATTGTTCCTCTGATATGCCAAACCATTTCAATTCAGAATTTCAAGAGAGCTGGTTTTCTCATGGAATTTTATCCAAACTTGAATCTGAAAACAAATCTCTCCCAATCCTGAAGCTTTCCTACTATTCACAATGAAGGAACAGGCTGAGAAGCAGGAATCTAAACCTAATCTCATAACCTCTGAGACTCAAAACCCACTAAAACACTACAATTTTATAGCAGAAACAAAGACATTTCACAAGTAGTCAGCAGTGATGCTTAAGAGGGAAGAAATACAAAACAAGGAGAGGGAAGAAATACAGAAATCTCTGCTATCTTTATCAAAACAGGTAATTGAAGAAAGAAAGAGAATAGCATAAATTTTAGTCTTTTTCACCTATTTCTACATATATGTGGTTTTGGCAAAATCATTTGGGAAGAACGATGCTGAAGCCATAAGCATTTCCTGTATTAGGGAAGACAGAAAAGGAAATATTCAGCCTCCGGAACTGGAAAAACATCCATCTTTCAAATGAAGATTTAATTCTCCTTTAATCTCTGGAGAGTAGATAGCATTAGAGGAAAGCTAAAACCTAACATCCCTACACTAATCATTATGGAGAACAAGGTGTCCAAGATCAGATCACCTTTCAAGGAAAAGAGATCCTATGGCAACAGGAAAGGCAGCCTCAATGATTCAGGAGAGGTTCATGTAAGGAGGTGAAACAGCTTTGTGAAGGGAGTTTTTAAACTGTACTCCTCACTAGCAGTGAGATTTGAGCAGCAAAAAATAATGTATTAGGTAGAAAACTTATCCACTGATTCCCAGAGTAGAAGTGAATTAAAGTAATGAGTTAAATTACTCTCAGCAGGCCAAGGAATAAATAGGTATATATATATTCAAATGTAAAAAGGAAAAAAAAGACAGAAAGCTACCAGAAAAGATAAATGCATTATTTTTGAGAAGGGGTCTCTTTCCCATGGGCTGGTATTGAATATTTAATTTAGTTAGAGTTATCTGACCATGCCTCAGAATGGATATCTCTGAGTATGGGATACTGGTATGTCTATCACACAAAAAATCACTAGGTTTGCATGATTCTACAGATGTTTTAATTCAATGTAATATATAAGTAAATTCAGAAGATGTATATTAACTGAAACCCACTTTTTCAAACTAGATCTTATTTTACATGGATAAATTTCACTCTGTTAATGGAAACAAGAAAAATAAAAAACCCACACTCAATTCCTTTGTTGTCAACTCTACACAACTAGGACGTCCATTGGGTTTTGACTGAGACTAAGACCAAGCACATTATCTTCTTCTTTCCTGTAGAATTCCTGGGAAGACAAGGAACCATTTGAACAAATGTGTTGACTGCTCAAGTGATCTTACAGAGACAAACACATGGTATTACACCTTCACTGACCTGGAAGCATCTAATGGGACACAGTAAATAAAAATATCACAAAGAAGACAAGGAATGTTATATTATCCCAACTTTTTACAGAAGGCAGAAATCATATGCCATTGCAGAGGCACACAACTTCTTGAAGCATAATCAGTATAACACTTGCTGGTTTTTGTTTGTTCTCCATTTAATACTGTCTTTTGTGATGATGAGCAGGATGCCTTACTTGCATATGCTGTTTGAAATGTAAAAATAGTCATTACATTTCAGTCAATTAAATTTTAATTGACTTGCTTTTGAAAAGGGTTCACAAATCTCCTTCTCCCTTTATTTCACTATCTTGAGAACAACACAAAATAGTTTTTCAATAATCCTCTAAAAAGTAATGACCAAATGTTGCCCTTGGATACATTAGTGAAGAAGTTCTGTTAAGTGGAATTGTTCCTTTCAGTGTGGTTTGACAGGGCATAGCAGAAATGACTCATCTGAAAGTATACAAATTTTTCTTCTGTGAAATGCAATCCTGCATACATTTTTAAAAGGTCACAAAATTATAATCTTTTAGTAATACAAGATGTGATCCTGTGAAACACTAAGTGCACTCAGTTCCCAGTGCAGTCAGCAGGTACTGGGCACAGCACAGCTCCGAGCAGAGTGAGGCCCACAGTGCCCACACTCACACACCCTCACACACTGCTGGCCCAGAAAGGAAAGCCCCTTGAACACCACTGTGATTCAGCTTCCAGCAGATGCAGGCAAGAAACAGAACTCTCTGGAGCTTTCAGAAGCACAGAAACAGCCAAATGAGGAGAAACGGGATTCAGATCCTCTCTACCTTTTCCCACAGATCTCTGCAAAACAAACTCAATTGATATCATAAACCAAACAGTAAAGCAAATCAGAATGTCTATCTTTTGTTTGCCATGGCACAAGAACTGTTGAACAGAGGAAAAAAAACAAGCTGAGTTTAGCTCTATCAGCTGTTTCCTGGGGCTCGGTCCTTCCTTCCTCCAAGGGGTGCCA